AAAAAAAAATACGAAAAATGTTTACTACACAGCGTGATTCAAATTCACAGACTTTTGGCTGGAAGGGTTATTACAGGGTGACAAGTAAAATAGCGAAAAGCAATAAAAAAAATTGATATTGAAGAATTGTAGGTAATGGAAATATATGACAATAGGACTCAATATAATAGAAATCAACATCTTTCATTCCCTAGGTTATGTATCGAGTTCGGACTTTCGATAGATTATTCCCTATGACTCTTATGGCCGTTTGCACCAAAATCCATGGCAACGATTATTGTGACAATGGTTGCCATGGATTTTAAGCTACGCTTACGCTAAGTTTCGCTCAAAATTTGTTGGTGCAAACGTCTATTAGAAGTGTAACAATTCAATATAACTCTTCTCTGTGGTCTTGGTCAAAAGTTTTAGAGCAAAATGTACCCAATATTATTCTTTACACATGAATTTAGAGTTGTAAAAGCTTTCAAACGCATTATCTTGATGCCGAAAGAGTACCTACATCAAGTGCACATTTGGTAACCGCATGTGTGTGATTTAAAGATGTTAAATTATTTCTCTGACCTCACATGGATTTTGATCAAAACATGTCCAAATCGTTATTCTTGCATCAAGATCGTTGGAACAAAGACTAGGAGCTCTCGGGCTTTCATCAGATTATTAACGCCAACATTAACATGTCTCTTTAAATTATTATAAAATACAATCAAAATAGTCGACTATTTATCAAGGTCTTGTTGTATTACCCTTGACAATTCGTTTTTCTCGTTGAGGGTAGGTTTCTTCCAGATATTTTCTTTCTACACGCGGTCCATAATTAATTTATGGGTAGGTATTTTTGTGAAAAATATTGCATAATCTAAGTACTAACTACCCACATAGCATTCGATATCTTATGTATATACATTTTAAATCCATAATGTACAGGGAATATCCTGCCCATCTTATGTATATTCTATTCCATCTTATGTATATTCTATGCATATTCATTATAGACATATTTATTTTATGTGCAGTATGGATATTCTTTAATATATACATTTTGGATGTATTAGGCACACACATTGTATGTATCTTTTATGTATAAATCGTATACCTTCTCACGAGGATCTTCTATGTATATAGATGGGATTATATGTTATGTATATACGTTTTGGATTTGATACATGCGTTTTCTGTATTACCGACGTTACAAACGTTAGCGTCTCGTTTTCTGTGAATTACGGCGATAAAGATAGTAAGGTGCTATTGCAAATACAGTTCATTTTTCTAAAATCTGGAGTGTTATTCCACGAGTTATTAATGAGTTTGTTTGTCTAATTTGGACAGTGAAAGTAATGATTTTTATTTCGTGTGTGCGTGACATAACGTTGTAAATATGTGTTAGTGAGATGTAAAGACTGGATGTGAATTAATATAAGGACAAGAAAAGAGATACCAAGAGATCAGTGAACTAGGGAAAGAAGTCATCTTCAAATGGGTACCCTCGTATGCTGGCATCAAAGGCAATGAAGAAACCGACCAAGCAGCAAGATTGGCCATATACCTGGGAACGCGTAGTAATTGGGTTACACACTCAGACCTCAAAAAACACCTGCATCAAAAAACAAATGAATTGTGGAATACCGAGTGGATACAGCACAGACCAACAAAAATCGCACAAATCAGAGACGGTTTCTACACACAGACAAATACAACTTAATAACAGAAGAGACCAAATCATTTACACACGGTTACGAATTGGCCACTCTAGATATACACATGAACACCTCATTTCCAAAAACCCACCTAAAGAGTGTAAAGCATGTCACATACCTATAACAATCCAGCACTTGTTTGAATGCAACTCTACAGCAACCCTCCGGACGAAACACAGGATCTCTGCAAATCTGAAGCAAATGCTAAACAGTGATAAAATGGTTCCAGAAGTAATTAATTTTATCAATGATTTAAAGCTACGCGACAAACTGTAACACCTTATATACCCTGTAACTGTAATCATGATACGTAAGTTATAAGCTGTACCAACTGTATCTAAACGTAGTCGCTAATGACCACAAGGTTCACGCGACTGTAAATAAATATAAATTTAAAAAAAAAGAATGGCAGGTATGTTTGCAACCTATTTGTTATGAACTCGCGCTATTATAGTGTTGAACAAGAACACGATCAAGATGACTCAAGACTACAGTGTTAAATAAAACAATAATAATTTCTTAAGCACATTGTATACTAGGAGACTTAATAAACAAAAAGCTTCACTCAGTGAAAAGAATTTATTTATGTAGGTAGGTATAGATGCTAGTAAACTTCCAGAATGTTAGAGGAATCTCTATAGAACATCCATTCTGAATGTATACAATGTACATAGAATATCCTATTGAACATCTTTGCATATTACAGGAATATTCATGGTATATCCAGTTGTCAGTATACCAATATACACAGCATGTCTGATGCATATACATAAGACAGCCGAAACGTGTATACTATGTATTATGTGAAGTCTGCCAAACTTATATCCCATGCATATACATCGGGCATTTGCGACATACTTTTCCACATTCTATGGATATACAAAATCCCACGTGGAATGTGCATGTTATATGTAATGTATATAAGTCTGCTATGTGGGTACTACGGGGTTTAGACACTGGACATTTCTTATAAAAATGGAAGAGAACACAACAAACTATCGAATAGCGAAATAAAATAGTGGTAATTCCATTTGATTAAAAAAGTTATAGCACTAAGAAATGCTGAAAATTTTTGCTATTTCTATAGATGTGCAACCATCTATAGTTGCTCAAAGGTATTTCCTAACTTACAAAAACAAGGTCGCTACTATTTATCAATGTGGGGCTTGCTTATGGGGAATTATTCGGCAAAAAATTAATAAGATGGCAACATTGACAGAAATCAAAAAGTTAATAGCGTTCAATGTAGTGGTAAACAAATGACATCGATACATGTAAAAATATACAGGGTGTTTTATTAAAAAAAAGTTATTGACACCGTAAAAACGGGATATCTAGTTGTGCATTCAAAAATAATTTCTATAGATGTGCAACCATCTACGTATAGTTGAAACACGTTTTTTTTTAATTTATACGAGGTATGAGTTAGGAAAGACCGATGCACTGTGGGAGGACGCTGTACAGCGGAATACAGGGTCGCCGATGAATCTGGAAACGGTCGATTATCGGTGAAAATATACAGGATAACGAAACAAGTTTTATACAAAAGTTTTGCAGTTCTTCAATGTCTACTAGGCAGCAATAATTTTAATTATTCATGGTTGGTCAAAGGCGTGACATACCAAAATTACATTTTATTAATAGAACACCTTGTATATTATTCGATGTTCAATTCTTCTCTCAATTTTAGGCAAAATTTGTAAGAAGCATAATGCACATAATTTATTAAAAAATTAATTATTAACTTAAAATGAATAAAATGCTCAAAACCATACCTAAGCTGCATTTAATGTCGAATATTTTGAACACTGATTGCGATGAAAACCATTTTATTGCTAATTTTGTATTTAAGGTAATAAGAAAGTTACACGTTCATTTGTTTTATTTTGATGTGGGATATCTAGATTATAATTTTATTGATGTACTTACTTAATAAATAGTTCTAAAATTTGTTGTGTGTACTAACATGCTACGTCATCGAACAGAGAAACAAAATCTTTATCAAATGATCCTAATTATTTATTATCGCTCTCTTGTTCTGGGCCCTCAACAGGCTTGCGCCGAATTACAGACCCGCATAGTGCTTTTTAAAGGTGGTCCGGTATTTACATACCTTACGCTTGACCTCCGGGTATGTAGCTCAACGCTCTACCACCGAGCTACATAGACATGTGAATGAAGGGGTACATTGCTATTAAAGAAAACTCAATTGTTTTTCGTTACTCACTTGTTTGTTGAAATAAAAACAACTGAATGCCGCTTGCTATGAAAAATAAAATGTTAGACAAGTTTTATATAGAAAATGTTGTATACAGTCGTTATTTACCGAGATGTGCTATATTCTATACAAAATGGGCACTCTGTATATAATATATCTATCTATAGAAAAGTAATGATTTTTTGAGATTCACCTTAAACTGTATTGTGTACCTATGGGCACAGATTATTGTATTTAATCTGTGCTGTGGGTGATGAACGTTTTCGACAATTCAAAGTGTTCATGGTTTATCTCGTGGTTTGTTATTATGACGTGTTTGGATCTCAGTAGACCACCGTAGAAAGGTTCATTTGTGCAGTTGTATAGTATAACAAGTATTTACTTAATTGTGACAGATTTCTTTTCCACGTATTTTGTTCGTATAGATCGAGAGTATAATTCTGATTGGCATTTTGCGTTAAGTAATATCGAATTATGTTGTAAATATGCAACTCATATTCTAAGTAGCTATCTCCTCTCCAATATGCATATTAAGGGTATAGAAATGGTTGGAACAAATTGATTGCGCACACAAGGAATAAGCGCCTTAAATGGAAATTACCTATTTACCACGCAATGTAAAATTGTTTACTGCGTAAAACATGGATATAAGAAAGAAAAAGGTGCACCAACATGATTTCATTTGTTGGAAATAGCAAGCCGAAGCATATCGTCAAAATTCTAAACGGCGATGAAACACCTACAAAATCTAATCTGATAATACTGTTAGTCTGGAGGCTAAAATTTAATTAGTAAAGGGCGCGGAAGTCTTCAAGTTAGTTAACAGCTAAACATTTCGTATTTCTGAAACACGTTTACCTTCCTTTTACAAGGGATCGTGGAAATCGTAGAACAGCTACCGGGGAATTAACCTTATCCTTTTCACTTTTCATTAAAGCTTACTTACATTAGCTACTGTACATATTTAGGTGAAATTAGAAGTTATAAAATTTCGTACTTATAAAAACGATTTTATTTTATGTCTTGTATGCTAATTGAACTGGTCTGCGTTAACTGCTTGTTTAATTTTTGCCATTTTGATTCAGATTCAATGAAGTTTGGCAACTCGGGAGAACCTCAACTGTTCGGATGTGAGTAAAATGAATTTCATTTTTCTAGAACACTGCCTATAACGTGTAGGAACACACCTAGTAGTTATGTTTGTTTCGCGTTGAACATCATACTAGAAGTGGCACACTTTCAATTTCATTCTATAGAAACACAGGTACCGTACAGGCGTACACTTTCGGGTAGTCTACATACAGTTAGAGTTAATTTTTAAAAAAATATTAATCAAGATACCTTTTTGTAAACGTTTTATGTGTATAATTACCTATTAGATAATCAGCCCTGTGATACTGATGTATCACCAACGTTAAACTTAACGTGCAGGTCATTTCGCCATTGAATAAAAAATTTAAAAAACTGTTCGAAAACTTTGTTCCTTAACTCATCAAGTATGTACACAACAAATTTCGTGGAATTCTGTCCATTTTCGTTCTCCGGTCAAGAATTGCAGTGGAACTTCCAATTTTCAAAAACGAATTCCATATTCGACATTTTCATGTTCAAAAACCCCCAAATACCAAATTTCGTCGAAATCAAAATTTTTTTCGCACCCCCCAAGTAGGAGTGCGCCCTTTCGTGGTAGCAATTTTGAAAAAAAATTCAAAATCGGGTAGGGCTTACCCGAAAACCTATTCAAAAACATTCCACCCATCTTTGTGGCTCTTATAGTTCCTGAGAAAAAAAATTAAAGAAGAAATCCAAATTTCAACACTTCTTTAGGGGAGGCTCCCAAACGAAACACGTTGGACCCTCGGTTTATTTAGAAAAAGTACTTGTCTTGATCCCCTCTATCAACCAATTTTTTTTACATGCGGTCATGTAACACCCTGTATAAATATTATAATAAATTACCGGTGAATATGCAATTTTCTTTAAATATGGCTATATCGTTATTTAGAGACTACCTGAACTACAGCATGGATCCGTTTTGTTATTCTTAGAAACTATGATTTTCACTGACTGTCCGTCAACTAAATCCACACTCTCATTTCGATTGATATTCTTCTGAATTGCTTCTGTTGCTAATAAACTAGACGTTACGTGTAAAAGCAATTATCTTATGTCACGGGACTGTGAGGTGGCATTTTTAATCCCGTATCCCGAGTGGGAAAGTTTATTTCTCGAGTTCCTTGGTGTATAAATTTTTCTTTTAGTATAGATCATACCTCGGATCATACGCTTATTTTTCGGGCAAACTTGAGGGGTAACTTGATATGTCCCCTTACCGCCTGCTCTTTGAGGGGAAAAATTACTTTTTATTTAATTCAGGAATTTAGTATCATAGATCTATCAGTAATGAATGCACGCAAAAGAAAAAGTTTTATTATGTGACTTTCGGCAACGAATTTAACTTATATTGAACATTAAGACCTATGGCATTGACGCTATCTATACTAATTTAGTGTAAGACATTCCAGTTCTTTACGGCACCGTTCCTTACTGGGTATTACGACTTGATAAGGTGATTTTGATTGTTCCACGATCCATATTGAACCATTCGGACAATCTTTAATAATTTTGGCAATAGATTCTCCAACATGCTCGGGCCTATAATTTTTACAAATGCAATAGAATTAGATGCCACATGATTTGTAACACTTACGGTTGTGAGACTTGGGAAGCTTCCGTTGTGTTGGCGCTCATATTCATTTGGAGATACTGCATCGAATATATTCTATCAACTATGTTCTCGTCCTTCAAAGGTGTGCTTGTGGCACCAGGACACACGGTGACAACTTTTACATTCGTACGGTCGTAGTGAGCTTCATTTCCAAAAGCGCGCGTCAATCCCAAGATTGCATATTTAGTGGCTGTATAAAATGGCACCATAACCTCTACATCGAATATGCTTATCGAAGCAATGTTTATTATCAATCCTTCGCTTCCGCTTTTATGATCTTTAATGTAATGTTCCATAGCTAATACAGTTCCATTGATTGTTCCTTTCTGTAAGAAGATTAAATTAGATTTAATTTATTCGAGTTAAGCCACTCTTACAATATTTATATCAACTTGTTTCTCCCACAGCGCATCATTTAAAATGCTGGCGTTATTAATTAGAATATCCACGTTTCCAAATACGTCAACAGTGCGCTTAAAGGCCTCTACAAATGCATCATTAATTCATGATTCAAAACCAAACACTCTGTTCGCTTACCTTCAAATTGAGCTTTGTTTGTGATATCTGCTTTGACAAAAATTACTCTGGATCCATATTCTGCTAGAGATTTTAAAGCCTCTGCACCTGCATCGTCGTTAACGTCAACGATAGTTACACCCTAAAAGCCCCAAATAAGTGCTGTTCTTACAAATTGAATTAAAAAATCTACCTTAATTCCATTTTTCAACAACTCCTTCGCTGTATTAAATCCAATGCCGGAGGCCGCACCAGTTATCACTGCAACTTTTTCAGTAATGTCGAATTTCTCCATTTCTACTTGACTACGCGAGTAGACGTACAATAACAGGAAAGACAGATGCTTTCCCGTACAGGCGTATATAAGTTGCTGGGAGGTCCTATCTAGATTATCTTATCTGTTCTTAATAGTTTCGTCATTTTTATTAACATTATAAGTGGTTTATTTTACTACATTATTCTGCTCCAATATCAAATTAGATGCAGCAACCAACGCTCATAGTTTCGATTTGCGTAGGGACACTGATGACCAAATCCAACGTATGTACCTGCTCCAAGGTTTTCCACGTGTTGTGATAAGTAAATTGACTCGATTGTTCGATTACGTATTTCATTAATTGATAAACGGCCGATAAGGTGAATTGCAGATAATCGTTCACTTTATAAAATTTTCAAACGAATCGCCAGTTCAAGACAACGTGTTTCAAGGTCTTTAAATTTGGAGCTGCTACATGTGTGTAATAATTAACCACTGAATCCCACTAAGTATTGTACCCATAAATTAATCTAATATAACAACTAGGTTTCATTTTTTTTGCGACTATTTAAACGAAATATTTAAAATTGTGTAACAAAGAAGAAAACAATAATTAATTATAATAAAAAAATTTCGTCGAACTGTTTTTCACTGGGGAGAGTCCCAGGATACATGCGCTATGGCCACGTTGGATAGCCAAGGATATCCTTTGAAATAAAAATTGCTCAGTGCGTTTGTCGCCGGATTCCGCAATTAAGCTTCTGCCTATTTTATTCAGAAAATCTCGTGATTCCTTGCACCATGGTCCAAGTGTCTCGAAGGCAAGCCCCATAAATATATAATCTTTCTTTAGATCTCGATATGTGTTTTGTGAGCATGCCTCTTCTGCTGCAGCTCGGGCCCTTATAGAAGTACTTTTCATGTTTGTTGTGGATAAAGTGTCCCCGCATGTACTGTCCCATGCAAGTGATTGGCCTTTTGCGTATGCTGTAAGCGTTATCCCATCAGATCGTTTTCCATCGGAACGATATAGTCCAACCGGCAGCTTACTTCCCTTAGTTCGTATGGTTGAAATGCAAAAGCTCATGTAGATTCTTTTGTTTATTATAATTATAATAAAATGACTATATATATATTTTATGGTGAAATTATGCCTTCCAGCATATAACCTGTACAAGAAAGCAAAAAATCACATTACAGTCAAAAGCAATGTAGCAATCGGCGAATTTTTTCTCTAAAAGAGATTTTACGTACTTTGAATATGATCAAGTCAATGTTCATAGTACAAAATTATGTAATGCCCACGAGAACGAAGTTTATATCTCTCGTACTTATAGGTAAGATATATGGACATCAAGGTTAACCTTACTAAAGCAATAAGATAATAAAGACAATTGCGCATCATTTTCATTAAAAAAAATTATTTTTATTAGGGGTGGCGAAACACACGGTTAAGACTTATTTCTAGATCTTGTAAAGAACAAAACGAAGAACGTCCAGCAGTACAGATAAGATGGGTTACATAATAATTTAAAGGATGGACGCTATGTGCAGCGTGCGGTTCTCCAGTTACATCAACGTTTTATTCTGCCCCACCTTAGTTTTTATACTGGTTTAAGATAAAATATTTTGCGTCTTCCCTTCTGTACTTGTAGGTTCGGTAGGTTTTTACAATCCTTGTGTCGGTGCAGATACTCCACAAACTTGAATAGCTCTTATGATATTGGAATTGATTTTCAGATTAGATTAACAATATTTCCTGCCTATTAGCTTTGCTTAATTTATCCCTAATATCTGTAACGACATTCGGCGTCTGAATGGACATTTTTTCCATTCCGGATTATTTGTTGTATGGTAGCGAATTCTCTGGAACTTTATCAAGGAGCCATAGAGTCGATAACGGATTAGTCACTTGCGATATGCTAAACGTTATAACATTTTTGCAGAAGATTTTTGTTTGCAAACTGTATTGTGTTTAGTTTCAGTGTTAATATCTTGGTTAAAGTGATAAATAATGAAATTCGCATTGTGTTATAAATGTATGACCAGTATTATAAAGCACAGTTAACCACGTTGTGAGGCCAACAATGTTGTTAAGGCATGTCATTGGATATTTTTTCAAAGAATGATGTTATTCTTTGAGTAAAAAACATTCAATCACATGCCTTAACAACATTGTTAGCCTAGTTAACTATGCTTTATGTTTATAATACCGGCCTTGTCAGTGTTATAAATGTGATAGTGATAAATCTTAATTCAATTGTTATAAATCAATATATGATTAATAGTGTTAGTTCCTACGAACCTGCTCCAAAGTATTCATGAATATCCGGTGTATCTTATTAATAGTTAGTACTACTAGCTTTTGCTCCTGCGACTTCGTACGTGCATAAACATTACTTTTTGTTTTTCCCCGTTCCCGTGGGAATTTCGGGAAGAGCTTTTGGAGTACACCTTAACGGTTTCAAAGAAACTTACGTTCTAAGTCTCAAGTCAGTGTCTTCCACAGTTTCGACTGTAAAACTGTAAAATTCCGTACTTTCCCGTTCCCAAGGAATTTTGGGAAATCCTCGTAGTGCTCCCCTACAATCTCCAAGGAACCTACATGTCAAACTTCAGCTGTGTGCGTCCTGTAGGTTCGACTGTGCGTTTGTCTGTTGGCAAAGATATATTCTTTGCTGTTAGTAACAGAAGAGTTTTATATGTATTGATTACTATACAGTGCGTTCGAGATAAGAGGGTCATCTCAATATATCTTTTATTTGACGAAAAATTTGTTAAATATAATTTTATATGTGAAATTACGATCTATCCGATCGGATATGGATACTTCCTGCGTCACATCCGGTTTAACCGGAAAAGGATACAATTTTTGTTTTTCAAATGGAAAACCGATGTTTTTTTAAGATATTTGAAAAGAAATAAAATATGCTTATGGTTGAAATGCAAAAAAAAATGGTGAAATGCTGTGTGCCATATCTCAGAAAAGATTTACACATTCTTGTTCAATGTTTCGTTTTGAAGATATCCTTTGCACGATACGATCTACCCGTATAACAGATATGGCGCATCCTGACAGCACACGGTGTGCTAGATTTATAGGCATTAAATTTGAAAAACAAAGTTGCATGGGTTAGCGGTTTCGCTGGAAGTGATACTGGAAGTTTCAATACGCGACCATGTCACATATAACATTATATTTCACAAATTTTTCGTATCTAGTCAAATAAAAGAGATATTGAGGTGACCTTCTTATTTCGAACGCCCTGTATTGCTGTGTGTACCCATAAAACACCTTTCCAACTTGCTCAAACAAATCCAAATTGAATTGTTTCCAATCTCTCGTCGCACTCTTCCGTTATCTGCTACAAAGAAAAGCTCCATATTGACTTGAATTATTGATTTGGAAGACCCCAGCTCCAATTAACTAATTAAGTAACTAAGAAAAATTGAAACCAACTAACTACACACATTTTCATTAACACCTGACACAATTTTTTTTACGCGAGAAGAAAAATCTGACATGAAAACTATCCGGCTTGGTTAAAGGATTCGAATAAACACACAAGCAATTGTTTGACATGAAACAAATGAAATGAAAAATTAAAACAAAATTCTTCAAAAAAAGAAAAGCTTACAAAGTTTGTTTGGACAAATTACTTCCAGTTTTTTCTCTTTTAATAACTAATAACCTGACTAATAATGAGTAATACACTGACAGCTTCTGAACCTTATTTTTCTTGAACACATTAAACTTGATGACAAACAACATTAAAAATAATAAAATTCCGAATTGCCGGTGGCTGACGATAAAAACGTTTAATAGCAAGAGAACCATAACAAAAGGCCTCACAGTGCACTAACTGCTGAATAAATCGCTTTAAATTGCTCACACAACTTTAGTTAACTTGCTTCTGCACAAAATTATTATAATAAGAACAAACTACGTCTTCAACCGGGTGGACAGCTCGAAAAAGAAATAGCGTAAAGAAACGTACCCGCTTTCCAACTCTCGCGAACCAGTCAGCCTATTTTTTTCCGTTAATTCTCCGTATTTAAAAGAAGACCACTTTCACTATAAAATAATCTCCTTCCTCAAAATCTTATAACCAACACCGCCAATCACAATCAGACTTGATAACTAACGCGCACACCGTAACATCAGCATCTTCGTTTGTCATTGAACAGCAACAAGAACGCGCCCATTAAATCTCGTCCGATAACAAAACTTCTTATCGCACACGACCAGATGTTCCTAAATACACAATTCCAAATAAACAATCTACGAAATCTTTAAACATGAAAATAATAAGCAATTACCAACTCTAAATGGAAAAATAGACACTGAGATAACAAATTCAAGTACAATAGGCCAACTCGTGTGACTATTTCGTAAATATCCCACACTTACACTTAATAAATTGAAACATTGTCATATACCTACAGGATGTCTCGCCATTATTCCGGTGTTTCGACCGCAATAACGTCTACAAGATGTTGTTTACAAAACAATGCTATAGTAAAAGTAACTAATGCGGCGATTATTTATAATAATCGGTCAATTCGAATAATTAGAGATGTACAATTTTTTAAACAGCCCCCGGAATGAATTTTGTTAACTCAATATCTTCGTAGTTTCGTAAATGGCAGTAGTTTCCCTTCCCCTTAAGTTTTAGAAGGAAATACACCCCAAATTTATTACGTTATTATGAATAATCGCCGCATTAATTACTGTGAAAGGAAAATGTAATATACTGTCTTTTGAGATTAAAATGTACGGGGTGTTCTATTTGAAAAAAGAAGTTAGGTCCGATAACTTTTTTTATCTGACATTATTTTATTATCTATATTTAAATTTTGGCATAACGCATTTTTCTGTGTCTATTTTAACTAATTTCACATTCAGAAATGGATGTTTTTGATTTTCACCTTAAGCAAGCGACAATTTTTAATTTTGATCCTAAATATCACACGACGCCTATAGGTATTACTTTTTTGATATAATTACGAAATACTCTATAAGAGTGTCTAAACGGGACACATTAGTACATACTCATACCATATCATCTTGTAAAGCACATAAAAAGATACT